ACCCTCAGCCATCATGACTGGTGATTTTGTGCTAAGACAACCATCAATAGCCTCTGAACAGTTCTGTCTACTCAGTTTCACTCATGAGGATTGGGTCAACCTATGGTATGTTTTTGTTATGGTAATTTACCCATGCACGCATAGACTCTCCCAGCTATAAATAGGAGCAGGTACTTCCTTTTGGGGAGTGTAGTTTCCAGGAGTCAGCTCTGACAGTCGAACTGAACAGTCTTGCTGTAACACTCTTGTTTGTATATGTTTGTATTACTGTTTTCTGTTAATATATTTGTTTAATTCAACTCCTTTCTTGTGTCTTTAATTCTGGCCCTAACCAGGTTACAACAGTTTTACAAGCATGCTGGGATAGTCATACCTTCCAATAACATCAAGATGTCTCCTTCCCGACAAATCAACCATGGTGAAATCTGAACAACAAGCCATATGCCTATATATATATATATATATATATATATGTATCAAAATTTTTGGAATATTACTTTTTACCAGATTTTATGTCCTTTATGTCACTTTGTGTCCTCCACATTTTCTGACTGACCTTTCAACCAACTGATGAACATTCTAAAATTTTAAATTTCTCAAATTTAAAAACCTTGATAAACCGATGACATCCTCACTTTTGTATATAAACACATGCAACAAAATTAGTCCTACAATGTCTTGGATAAAGTCCCTCAGAGGATGAAATACGTCGACTAAGAATAGTTTTTCTTCTTGTCTCACTTTATTCATTTTGTCCACTTACAGATACACTCTATCTGAAAATAATTTACACACACACACACACACACACACACATACACATATATATATATATATATATATATATATATATATATATATATATATATATAGCAGACATTTACTTATACTTGCATATCCATGTACATATCTGCCCTTTTTCAAATGTGCTTATACAAGATTGTGAATATATTTAATTACAGACAATACAATTCTATACACACATACACTAATATATATTTCAGCATTGTAGTATATATGATCTATAATTTTGTACAATAATGTGGCTGTATTTAATTGCAATCAATAAAATTCTGTATACACACATTATATATATATATATATATATATATATATATATATATATATATATATATCCCAGTTGTAACTTGCTAATAGAATCATTAATAAGTTTACTGGTCTGTGTGCTATATCCATTAAAACATACAGAAATCATCAATCACATGATTTACATATATTTTCCCCACTGGTTATTGCGGTGTGAAGCTGTTACCATGGGTAATTACAGGCAGTGTTGTGATTGGTTGAAGACAAAATGAAAGATTTATGGCAAGGGATCTATATGATAAACAATTCTGAAAATATGAAAGTCAACTTGCACTATTGTGTCTCGGTTAAGTAGAATTCTCAGAGTAATTGTAGATGAGGGAAGAAACTAATTGGCTATTCTGAAAATAAAGTATTTGGAGGAAAATTAAAGAATGAGAGGAAATAAGACAAAATTGGAATAACATGGAAATTGCTCTGAGGAGCTGCATTCGCTGGTTCCCAGACGTCATGAGTTCCAGTGCCCTACGAGGCTGGCATCCCGCTCTCACCCTTCACTGTCGAAACTCCTAAATGTAGCCGTCTCTTCTACTCTAATAGCTTCATGTCTCGCACCTCTCGCCTGTGGAACTCCCTTCCCTTCTCCTGTTTCCCTGTGAGCTATAATCTCCAGCTATTCAAGTGTAATGTCAATTGACATCTCCAGTTGCCTTGATCTATCCACTACCCTCATCCTTTCTTCTATCACTCCTATCTGATCTTGCTCTAAATTTTTTGTAACCCCTTGCGTCCTAGTGGCTTCCCGCCTTGCTTGGGGTGAAATGCTTAAAAAAAAAAAAAAAATGAACTGAAAGGAATCTCCATGGAGCATTTGTTAGCAGAACTTGTTTTAAAGAACATTATAACTCTTGTGAGTGTGATTCGTAATAGATACCTCACACTCAGTTGTGATTAGGTAACCCCTACTTGAGTTTGATCCCTATGTGGTACACACACTTGATTTTCATTTTCATTAGGTACTCTATATATGAATTAGTGGTTCATAATAGATTTTGATTCTCATTAGGTACTGTAACAAGAGAGATCTATAGTTAAAATATTTATTCTTCTATTTGGATTTCCCCCATTATGAGCATTATCATATCTGTGATATAATAATACCGTAATTCATGGACAGAACAAAATGGCTGAAGGGAAAATGAATGACGAACATGCTTAGTTCTAAAAGAGAGACTTTTATAGTGCTAAGACACACAAAACCATATCTATACATGTCCCATGCAGAGAATAATATATCACATATATCTACCTAGCAAAGCAGAGTGTAAGGAGAAACAAAAGAAAGAGTCTTACATATAACATGGAGATACTCCTGTATCTGGAGAAACAACGTTTCAGACTCCAGATTCAAACAGGCAGGTTTTATGATGTCCCATGTAAAGATACGTTTCACAAACAAGAAACAGCAAATCTTGAGTTTCTTCAAACTGAGGATTGTGAGCTGGAGTTTTATTTGATATCTGGGAAAGAATTATTCCCAAAGTCAAACAGCACCATGAAGTTGTAAGCTGCAGGGGAAGCAGATTTACCCTCAGAAAAGCAAGCAATGCAACCTCTAGATTTGTTGCTGCAAAACAAACTCAATTTGGATGCCACTTTCTTCGCTGTATAGAGTGACATCACTAACAGCTGTCATGTGATCCACCAAATCTTATCTCCACCAAAAGGAGATAAGCACCTTCAGTATCCTTATATTAACTTACACTTGATTTTTATTTGTTTGTGTAATGTAATTGATCCAGACCAAACAGCTCAAATTCAGTCTCTTTTTGACCAACGTGATGTTAGCTTCCTTTTCATGGTAACTGTTCTGAGGAGTTTTTCTTCTTTGTGCTATGACTACATGAATTTAAGTCTGCTACTAGATTGGTATCTCGGTCCCACCCTTTTACTGTTGAACTAGGTAAATGCAACTGCAACTGCAACTTTTATTCTAACAGTTTCTTTCTTTGCACTTTGCATTGATAGAACTCACTTCTGATTTCTTGCTTCCCCTTCACCTAAAAAATTCAAAAATTCAAACGCAACATCAATTGCCATCTTCTGTCTCACTGAATCTTGTTCTTTTATTTTCCTTTCCTTACACCTCCTCACTAAGGTCTTATTCTTTTTCACTCCCTGTAACCACCAGCAGCCTTGCTTGGGGTGAAATGATTAAAAAAAATTAAAAAAGGTACCCAACATTTGATTTATGCATATATATATATATATATATATATAAAAGTGAACATAGAAGTCAACAGTTAGAGGCCTCTAAGGGTTGACTTCTATGTTCACTTTTATATATTTACACGCTCTATCTCTGATATTGAGCACTATATTCCATAAATATAGCATACCTTAAGAGTATATTTCTTTATATATATATATATATATATAGATATAGATAGATAGATAGATAGATAGATAGATAGAAAAATATAAAGAGAACACATGCACTGACACACACACATGTGCACACACACACACACACACACACACACACACATATATATATATATATATATATAGAGAGAGAGAGAGAGAGAGAGGAAGAGAGATAGATAGATAGATAGATAGATAGATAGATAGATAGATAGATAGATAGATATTGAGGACGAACGAGAAACATAAAGAGAACATATATGTCTTTCTCTCACTATATATATCTGTATATATATACATACATACATATATATATAGATAGATAGATAGAAAACATAAAGAGAACACACACATATACACACACACACACATATATATACATAAAATATATATATATATAAGAAAATGAGAAAGAGAAACATAAGCATATATATATATATATATATATATATATATATATATATATATATGAAGAAAAAATATACAGAAAAAACAAACAAAAATCTTAATATGCAATTATGCTATATTAATGTTTTTTCTGTATATTTTTCTTCATACTATCGGATCTATATCCATATAATTGCTTATATATATATATATATATATATATATATATATATATATATATATATTTATATATGTTGATAGATAGAAAGACAGACAGATTGATAGATAGAAAAACATAAAGAGAACACACACACAGATATATATATATATATATATATATACAAGTAGATAGAGAAACATAAAGAGAGACATATATATGTGTGTGTGCATGTGTATGTCTGTGCATACAAGTAGGAAGAGAAAAATAAAGAGAATATATATATATATATATATATATATATATATATATATATAGATGGTATTAATTCTCTCATGTCCATATACATACTTGTTGATACTCTGTTAATCCAATCTTTGTTAACCTTCTTCAGTTTGTATGACTATACGCAAATCAGGCAATGAAGACACTTCTTAAAATCTTTGAATTTGCTTTGGAAACCCCATCCCCTATACCATGCAGTGCGACCACTCAGCATGATACTGGAAATTCCATAAAGTCAAAGGTGAATGCATTGTTCATGCAAATGTGTAAATAGATCTGGCTTTATGGATCCATGCATGAGACGTGGATTGGCAGGATTTTCGCAGGTGAAAGTTCCCAGTCATAAATGTGCATGTATGCTATGCATAATTAAGAAATCAGATTTCACTTGTGCCTTTAAGTTGCGATATTATGCGGAAAGATATTTGCATCTTAGTTTTATTTTTACAAGACAGCATTTGGACATTCTGAGAGATTACAGCTCAGTGGTTACAGCGCTGGACCATATTTGCCTGGTAGCTGAATTAATTTCTCACCGGAATTGAAACCCTACAATAAAGCTAGGGTTTTCAGTGGTAATGATAATATCGGCCATTAAAGTTGTGAAACCCAAATGTTTAATGATGCAACAGAGGAAGTTCCATTGGTATTCTATGGTGAAGGAAATTCCAAGGAATGTAATCAATCTTAAAATTAAGAATTATGGATCATCAGAAAATACAAGACAGAAAAGGCAATAAATTTTTACAGGTATTAAGAAAGAAAGAAAGAAAGAAAGGAAGAATGAAAGAAAGAAAGAAAGAAAGAAAGAAAGAAAGGAAGGAAGGAAGGAAGGAAGGAAGGAAAAAGGAAGAAAGAAATAAAGATTGGTTATATAATAAGAAAGAAAGAAAGAAAGAGTGGTTACATAATAAGAAAGAAAGAAAGAAAGAAAGAAAGAAGGAAAGAAAGGAAGGAAGGAAAGAAAGGAAGGAAGGAAGGAAAAGGAAGAAATAAATAAAGAGTTGTTATATAATAAGAAAGAAAGAAAGAAAGAGTGGTTACATAATAAGAAAGAAAGAAAGTAAGAAGGAAAGAAAGGAAGGAAGGCAGGAAGGAAGGAAGGAAGGAAGGAAAAAGGAAGAAAGAAATAAAGAGTGGTTATATAATAAGAAAGAAAGAAAGAAAGAAAGAAGGAAGGAAGGAAAAAGAAAGAAAGAAAGAAAGAAAGAAAGAAAGAAAGAAAGAAAGAAAGAAAGAAATAGTGATTATATAATAAGAAAGAAAGAAAGGAAGGAAGGAAAGAAAAAAAGCAAGAAAGAGTGGTTACATAATAAGAAAGAAAGAAGGAAGGAAGGAAAAAGAAAGAAAGAGTAGTTACATTATAAGAAAGAAAGAAAGAAAGAAAGAAAGAAAGAAAGAAAGAAAGAAAGAGTGGTGACATTAAAAAGAAAGAGTGGGGAGATATTAAGAATGAAAGAAAGATTGGGAAGATATTAATAAAGAAAGAAAGAAAGAAAGAAAGAAAGAAAGAAAGAGTGTGATGGCCCATGGCCCATTATAAGATATGTTATTAGGTCTTAGTAATTTCTGTAGTGGTGTCTGCTGTTCTGGGTCTGGCACCATCATCCCTTTACTTATGACATATCCTAAAAGGTTAATTGTGTTTAACCTGTAAGAACACTTATCATTGTTTAGTATAAGATTGTATTTTTCATTGGTGGCCATGAGTTTGCAATCATGATAAGGTTTATCATAGCTACATACCATTACATTGTCTACATATGTGTAAGTGCCTTGCAGTTTCTCATCAATTCTTCTCCTATCGAGGGCTCTTTGGAAGTTGGACACACCATTCATGACCTGGAATGGAATTCATTGAAATTGGTACAACTGTCTGCATGCTTCAAAGCCATGTAAGGCTTGTTTTTTTTTGGGATTTTTTCTACTTGTTGATTGGCTCATAAATGTGGGACAGTGGATTGGTGAAAAATGTGAAAATCTGTTAATAGTTTACAAGTTGTAATCATTCACTTTTTAGTTATTTTCAGAACATCTTATCAAGACTTGGGTCTTCGTAAGGGGTATATTTTCTTTGATTATTCCTTCTCTTTACATTCTGGATATTTTCAACTAAGTAAATCTCTTGTCTTTAGATGAATATGTAACTGGAATGCTTGTTGTGTTTATGTAGAAAACACATATCTACTATTATTTTTCCAGTAACAATTATTGCACACTCAAATGTGAGTCCAAGTAATAAATAAACACTATTTACATTATTTGGACTATTGTCCTCATCTTTGTCCCCATGTTTATCACAACTTTTTGGCCATTGGATTCTCCGGTCTTCTTCAGGTTGTTGGTATGTCAAACTGAACCCTTTATTTCGCTTACTGGGGTAGACTGTTCTAGTTCCACGTGCCATGTCTAATGGATGTCAGTTATCTTCTGTTAATTCCCCTCTCCAAGTTCTCCCATCTATATATGTTCTTTTTATCCGAGTGCTTTCGACTATACATTTAGCCATTTTCAAGGATGAAATATTTAAACTATTAAATAAGAAATGGTTTGTTGCATGTATGTATTTATATAATATTTTCATATTTTTTTTCAAAACAGGGTCAAGATATTGTGTCCATTTTTGTAGTTGATATTATTCAGTGTTTTTTTTTTTTTAATAATAAGTCTTCCCTTTTTTTAGCCTTTTTTTGCATGTGGATGATGCTATATATATATATATATATATATATATATATATATATATATATATATATATATATATATATATACATACATATATGAATGGAATCATCCCAATTTACATTATTTGGACTAATGTCTGAATCTTTGTTGCCATGTTTATCAAAATGTTTTGCCCATTGTATGCTCTCGCCTTCTTCAGGTGGTTGGAATGTTGAACTGAACCCTTCATTTCGCTCAATGGGGTAGACTGTTCTAGTTCCACATGCCATGTCTAATGGATGTCAGTTATGTCCTGTTAATTCCCCTCTCAAAGTTCTCCACTGCCTTAAGCAGATATTGAACTCACACCCTTTGGGTCCTGTCACTGGATCTAACTAACGCCTTTATCCACTGTGCCAGACAGATAGTAATAAATGAGTAACCCAAAACAAAGGTCAATTCATGTATTAACACAAGAATTACAATTACAATAAAAGAAGAGAACATTTATGCCACTAAAACACAAGGAGTTAGAGGGTGCGGTACAATTAGGAATGGAAACGTTAACGATGAGCAAAAAGAGAAGAGAGTAATCAGGACAGTAGATAGCGATTAACATTGCATTTAAATTTTTGCAGATTAAAAATGGCTGGAAAGCATGAAGTCAGAAGGGAGTTGCACAAGTGAGAAGTCCAAGAAAAGAAACAGTTAGCATAGAACTTATGGTTACATCTAACCAACTCAATTGTAAATTGATGAGATCTCGACACCAGTATAGTACCACACTTAAATTCAAAATGTCTAGCTACCATAATGAAGAGCTCATCCAAACAATTACCATAAAAGTATTTATAGAAAAAACATAAAAAGGCAACCTTATGCCAGTGGGAGAATGGCTGCAGCTGAGTCAACAGATCAGGACCAATAATATGAGTTGCCATTTAATTTACTAGATTTTACATTCTTTAAAATATTCCACTTAATGACAAGGTTTCTGAAAAACCTATTGAGTTATTCAGCTAGAAAGAGAACAGGTTAAAATCATTTTGTGTCATCCCTACCGTCTTCCCAAATGAGCAATGGTGAGAGGAAACACTATTCAGGCCTTCTTTAATGGAAGACATTTAGCACATGAGAGAGTAGTGAGGCACCTTGTTAAACAGGACAGAAATTTAAAAGTTTAGAGTGGGTGAAGTTAGTTTTTTATACAATTTCTCATGCAATCTAATAATTTTTTCTTTTCAGATGATAAATTATATAAAAACTATCAGAATGTTCTTTTTATCTGAGTGCTTTCGACTATACATTTAGCCATTTTCAAGGATGAAATATTTATACTGTTAAATAAGAAATGGTTTGTTGCATGTATGTATTTATATAATATTTTCATATTTTTTTTCAAAACAGGGTCAAGATATTGTGCCCATTTTTGTAGTTGATATTATTGAGTGTTTTTTTTTTTTTTTTATTAATAAGTCTTCCTTTTTTAGCCTTTTTTTGCATGTGGATGATGCTATATATATATATATATATATATATATATATATATATATATATATATATATATATATATAGATATATGTAAGCAAATATATAAATAAATATATGGATATAGATCCGACAGTATGAAGAAAAATATATACGGAAAAACAAACAAAATCTGTTTCTGACGTTGACATATTAACATTAAAAACAGCATAATTGTATATAAGGATTTTTTTTGTTTGTTTTCCGTATATATTTTTCTTCATATATATATATATATATATATATATATATATATATATGAATGGAATCATCCCAAGCAAGGCAGTAATGCCACTAAAAACAAGGGGTTACATGGTAGAATTAAGAAGAGAAACAATTATGATGAGCAGAAAGAGAAAAGAGAAAAAAGTAATCAGTTGGACAGTAGATAGCAATTAACATTGCATTTAAATTTTTGCCGATTAAAGTTGGTTTGAAAGCATTGAGACAAAAGGGAGTTCCAAAAGTGTGAAATACAAAAGAAGAAACTATTAGCATAAAACTTACAGCTACATCTAGCCATTTCAAGCATAAAATGATGAGACCTAGCTGCCAATCTAGTACTGCACTTAAATTCATAAAGTCTACGTACCATAGAGGAAAGTTCATCAGAACAATTACCATGAAAGTATTTCTAGAGAAGGTGAGAGAAGAAACTGTTAGCATTGAACTTACAGCTACATCTAGCCATTTCAAGCATAAAATGATGAGACCTTTCTGCCAATCTAGTACTGCACTTAAATTCAAAAAGTCTACGTACCATAGCAAAGTGCTCATTTGAACAATTACCAGATTTATAGAAAAAAATCAGAGTGGCAATCTTACGGTGGTGTGAAAGTGACTGAAGATGAGTCACCAGATCAGGACTAATAATATTGCTGATTCTTCTTTGGATCTCATCAAGAAGCTCAAAGTAAATAGCAGGAACAATGAGCCATATATGGCAGCAATATTCTAAGCATGGAGAAATGGTAGTCTTATACATATGTAAGATCGATTCTGGAGAGAAAAATTGTCTGGCCTAACAAAGTGACTGACACAGTGAACCAACTTTCTTAGCAGCTGACCTAGCAATAGATTCAGTAGAGTCTTTCCACTTCATATCAGCAGAGAACAAGTTACTTTCATATCAGCAGTACAACAAGTTACTTTCCTGGAGGTTAGCATCAGCCATGCTGATAGGAGGCTGCAAGGGGTTTCTCAGATGATTAATGAGGGAGAAGTTTAGTTTTGGAGACATTAAAATTATAAAATGTCACGAGAGAAAAGTAAGACATTGAAAAATGAATACTTTTTTCCCCACATGCTATAGCCAAAACTGTAAAAGAGGAAAGTGAGAAAGAGAGAGAATATCATTGTCTATTTATAGTTTTTAAGCATACCCCCTAGCATTGGTTTTTTATGTAAGTCAAGAGGCACAGTTGTGTAATGGATAGTGGCTTCGGATTAAGGAATCAGAGAGCTGAGTTCGAATTCCAGTCGAATCCATTATATTCACTTATGTACTAATAGCCTTGGGAAAGGTATGAATACTCTTTTCTCCCCCCAGATATGGTAAATAGCAGGACAGACCGGGTTCTATAACCTTGGATGGCAACTGGTCTACCGTAGAAAGAAATGGCAACCTACTGTGGGAAAAAATGTGCCTCGTCAGTCATGTATCGAAAGATACATGATTGCCTAAACGTGTATCAACCATGGCACATAACTGACTGACTGACAAGAAGGACATATCACAAATATTACCAAAGTATAATGGCTGCTTGTTCACAGTCTGTAGCTAAATTATTTAAGATTTTTAAACAGAATAGTGTTAGTAATTAATAAAGAAAACCCACAATTTTTAATTGTGGCAGAAAAATCAGTTAAATGGATGAAATTAATGTGGGACATTACCATAGAGGAAAGTTCATCAGAATAATTACCATGAAAGTATTTATAGAAAAGGCACAGGGAAGCTACATTACGGCAGTGGAAAACTGACAAAAGATGAGATGCCAGGTTAAGGTCTCTAAATATATAGCAGTAGCACCAGATCATATATAGCAGTAATATTCAATGTATGGATGAATGATACACTTATAAATATGTAAGATAGATTCTGGTGAGAAAAACAGTGTAGCACAGTCAAGTGAACCAGCATCCCTGACAACGGACATATCAATTGATTCAATATAATCTTTCCATTTCATGCCATTAGCCCAAGATAGGTGTAATGAGTTACTCTCCTGGAAGTTAGCATCATCCATGATGATGGGAGGAAGAAAAGATTCTCTCAGAAGATTTACAAGCCATTCCTTGCCCCAGTTAAAATAAAGTAAGCTTTTTGGTCTCAGATAT